GGAACCAGGGCCTTCAGAAGGCCTGACAGCGACAAAAATACGGAAGTCGAGAATTTGGGTAGACGGTGCCTTTAAACTATGGCGTCATATGGCATTCGGTTAAAGCTGTCCGCATCAGACGTGTAAAAACCAAGATTGTTCTGCACTGCAATTCAGTAAGCTAACTGACCACCTATATCCTTTAATGAAGAAAGCGTAGTTCGCCATCTCCTCGCACTTTTAATGTAAGAATTGCTTCTTCTAGAGAGGTTCGCCATCATCGCCTCTTCTTCCACATCATGACACCACATTATGTAGATGCTCGTACCCCCTCTCAATGGTCAAATAAGTTTGGCAGTCCAGCACCAGCCTTTCTATTTCCTAGAGGTAAAAAAATATATCCACATATTTCATAAATGATGCTTCTTGTTCATCCAACTTTTTGCCAAGTCGATTCTCTTGTAATACCGCTTCGTTAGCTTTGCTTTTTGTATACGTCTTTCTTGAATGTGTAACTTTCATGCAGCCAGTTGACATAGTTCCGTTGCATTTCCGGCTACCTTCATCTCTATTCTCAAGCAGATGCCTTAGTTGCTTCAGTAGCTTCGTACTCCTTGTTGAATATTGGTCAAAATAAGCGGCAAATACCTAAAAAATAAGCAGAATATTTCTTGCAATTGAAGCATGTTTAGTCGAAGTGGCCTGATGGGATGCATATGAGATATTGGAGAGTATAAAATGCTAATTCCAAATCTGTTAATCTGCGGAAACGTTTGTGGACGAGAAGTTTTGAGCATATAGAAGAGCAAAAAAATGAGTGTGCGTTCAGGAAGAAATGAGTCGCTAAAGTCTTGCTCGTTCTCAAACTTTCGAAAAGCGTATTCTGATAATCATCACCGCTCCAGTAAACTGCTAGAGAAAATATTACGGCCTGTCAAAGTTCTAATTGCACATTCAGTTTTAGTCCATTAAACGCCCATAACTACTCGTCCATAAACGTTCCGCAGATTAGAAAGGCCAATTTGAAATCAGCGTTTTATGTTCCCCAATCATATAAATCCCATCTAAAAAGCCCGTTTCGAGCAAACATGCTTTCTTTGTCGAATCTTTTACATCCGATTCAAAGAAAAAACTTACTCCAAATCCCGACCTAGTTTCCGGCCCGTCAGCGTAGCTTAGCGTAATTTATAGGCGTGAAGCTTATTCTATAACTGCTGACTTCAGTTTTAGCAAATGAGACAACAATGATACTATTGTGGAGGAAATGAGGAAACGACCACTGCCTGATCAATGCTAGTGCGAATAGCAAGTACCGTATATAAATTCTTACATCATGCCAAAACTTTCACAACTATGTGGTAAACTTCCTAATATCCCGGTCACGCACAAAATTCGCAATCATGTTCACAAATGTACATGACT